GGCCCTTGAAAAAATATTTAAAAAAGATCGACGCCTATATATGGTCCACGCCTATTAATGGCCCTTGAAAAATATTAAAAAAAATCCACGTCCATTAATGGCCCTTGAAAAATATAAAAAAAAAATTAAAAAAAAATCCACGCCTATATATGGTCTACGCCTATTAAAGGCCCTTGAAAAAATATTTAAAAAAAATCCACGCCTATATATGGTCAACGCCTATTAAAGGCACTTGAAAAAATATTTAAAAAAATCCACGCCTATATATGGTCCACGCCTATTAATGGCCCTTGAAAAAATATTTAAAAAAAAAATCCACGCCTATTAATGGCCCTTGAAAAAATATTAAAAAAAATCCGCGCCTATTAATGGCCCTTGAAAAAATATTTAAAAAAAATCCACGCCTATTAATGGCCCTTGAAAAAATATTAAAAAAAAATCTACGCCTATTAACGACTCTTGAAAATGACCTATATAGGGTTCACGCCTATTAATGGCCCTTGAAAAAATATTTTAAAAAAATCCACGCCTATATATGGTCGACGCCTATTAATGGCCCTTGAAAAAATATTTAAAAAAAATCGACGCCTATATATGGTCCACGCCTATTAATGGCCCTTGAAAAATATTAAAAAAAATCCACGTCCATTAATGGCCCTTGAAAAAATATCGAACAAAACTCCACGCCTATATATGGTCTACGCCTATTAAAGGCCCTTGAAAAAATATTTAAAAAAATCCACGCCTATATATGGTCAACGCCTATTAAAGGCACTTGAAAAAATATTTAAAAAAAATCCACGCCTATATATGGTCCTCGCTTATTAATGGCCCTTAAAAAAATGTTTAAAAAAAATCCACACCTATATATGGTCCTCGCCTATTAATGGCCCTTGAAAAAATGTTTAAAAAAAATCCACGCCTATATATGGTCCACGCCTATTAATGGCCCTTGAAAAAATATTTAAAAAAATCCACGCCTCTTCTGGACACTTCAACAAAAGCCCACGCCTATTTTGGACACTTCAAAAAATATTTTTCAAAAATCCCCGCTTCTGTTGACACAAACTTTTGTGTCAATCGGACAAACATTAGGAGTTTGATACAACATTTACCTTTAATCGGACGAAAATATATATGGGAGCTATATCTAGATCTGAACCGATTTTCACAAAACCTAACACACATAATTCTAGACTTAATTTAATGCGCTATACAAAATTTCGTGCAAATCGAATGATTTTCAGTAACTTTGGTGCACCATTTACCTTAAATCGGACGAAAATATATATGGGAGCTATATCTAAATCTGACCCGATTTTTACGAAACTTAGCACACATCATTCTAGGCTTAATACAGTACGCTGTGCCAAATTTCGTGCAAATCGAAAGATTTATAGTGACTTTGGTGCATCATTTACATTAAATCGGACGAAAATATATATGGGAGCTATATGTAAATCTGAACGGATTTTCACAAAAAATAACATACATCGTTCTAGACTTAATTCAGTACGCTGTACCAAATTTCGTGCAAATCGAAAGATATTTAGGGACTTTGGTGAACCATTTACCTTAAATCGGACGAAAATATATATGGGAGCTATCTAAATCTGAACCGATTTTCACGAAACTTAACGCACATCATTCTAGACTTAATTCAATGCGCTATACCAAATTTCGTGCAAATCGAAAATATATAGGGACTTTGGCGGACCATTTACCTAAAATCGGGCGAAACTATATATGGGAGCTATATCTAAATCTGAACCGGTTTTCTCGAAACTTGGCACACATCATTCTAGACTTAATTCAATTCACTATGCCATATTTCGTGGAAATCGGATCATATTTAGGGACTTTGGCATACCATTTACCTAAAATCGAGGGAAGCTATATATGGGAGCTATATATAAATCTAAACCGATTTTCACGAAACTTAGCACACATCATTCTAGACCTCATTTAGTGCGCTATACCAAATTTCGTGCAAATCGAATGATATATAGATACTTTGGTCCACCATTTACATTAAATCGGACGAAAATATATATGGGAGCTATATCAAAATCTGAACCGATTTTTCCCAATTTCAATAGGGTTCGTCTTTGGACCAAATAAGTGAGCTGTGCCAAATTTCATTCAAAACGGATCATAAATGCGACCTGTACTTTGTTTACAATTTAACATGGACAGACAGACGACTTAGAAAGTGATTCTATGCATATTCTCAAAGGGAACCATGTGTCTATCTCGTTTCCTTTTGCCTGTTACAAACATATGCACAAAGACATAATACCCTGTACCACAGTGTGGTGAAGGTTATAAAAATCCACGCCCCTGTTGGATACTTGAAAAAAATATTTTAAAAAATCCACGCCTTTGTTAGGTCCTTGAAAAATATTTCAAAAAAAAAATCCAGGCCTTCAAAATTAAATTTTCCAATCCCTTATTAGTTCCATGCCCCCTAAGGTATATTGATTATTATATTGTAAATAAATTGCAATATCCATATAGACATATCTATATACATATGTGGACTTAAGCTAACTGTAAATAAAGAAAAACAAACAACAAAAAAACTTAACTATGGTGTTGTTATGCATATTTACCACAGGTTGTTTGTAACTCTCACACACATGACTATATATACACCTGTGTATGAACGTGTGTGTGTGTTTGGAGATTAGTATTTCTTACAGCTTGATTAAGTACGTAAAGTATTATGAATATTTGTTATTATTATTGCTGTTGTTTTTGTATTTTTTGCAAAATATGCAGTTAGATTCTGTTCAATCAAATAGCTGGCCATTTACTTTGGCTGACTCTCTGACAGGCATAACCGGTTCTTTTGGCTGAATTTGTTGTTCGGTTGAATTTGAATTTTTGCATAATACTTTGCCACATGGCTATGGGCATTTGAAGTGCAGTGGAGTGCAGATTTGAACACCTAATAATAATCTCCAAAGACAGAACCAAGACGGTCAGATTTAATGACCAAGACGGCAGAGCAACAGACAGACGGACTCATAGTCATGTGCTATGGTGGTTGTTGTCTTCATAGGTATTAAGAAAGCTCCAGAGAGGTGTTGGCTGTGGCGTTGCAGAGATTGCGGAACGCAGCTGAGCCGCTCTTGTCAATGTTGACGTCAACAGTTTTTTGTTTTTGTTTTTTTTCTTTGCTGTTAAAAAAAAAAACGAGATTACATTTGGTGTGTAGTGTGTTTTCGAAACGTCCTTGAGTAATCAAATTGAATTGTTGTTGTATTGTAACTATTTATTGGAAAGGACTTGTGTGACAGAAAGCAAGCAACAACAAGCACACGCACTTTTGCACAGAAAACCCCTGCCAACAACAAAGCCGGTATAGTTTTGTTTTGCTTCATCATGTTTGTGTCTTAAGTCTTTTGTTATACTCAAGGAGGACTTGTTAATGGTTTCCTTATTTCTTTTTTTTTAATTAAATGTAAATTCTTAAAAACCATCGGAGATAAAATGAAACAGGTTCGAAGGCATGTCAGACAATGGGGAAAATATGGAACAAATTTTTGAAAGGATGATATCTTTATATGGGTCATGTTTGTGTCTTAAGTCTTTTGTTTTTGTTTGCTCAAGGTAGACTGGATATGATGGCATAGTTTTTAATTGCAGAGGGACTTTTTGGAAACGTCTCAATATAAAGAATGCAAAGACCAGCAGGTGGATATTTTCAAAAAATGTTAAAAAATACATTTCTTAAAGATATTAATAAGTCAATTTTTTCCTATACTTTTTTTAATTCCACGCCATGTTTTTTATACCCTTCATTCACCACACTGTAGTACATGGTATTATGTCTTTGTGCATATATTTTAACAGGCAAAAGGAAACGACATAGACATATGGTTCCTTTTGAGAATATGCATAGAATCACTTTCTGAGCCGATTTATGCATGTCCGTCCTTCCATTTGTAAATGGTAAATAGTAAACAAAGAACAGGTCGCATTTATGATCCGATTTGGATGAAATTTGGCACAAATCAATTATTTGGCCCAAATCAATTATTTGGCCCAAAAATCGGTTCTGATTTAGATACAGCTCCCATATATATTTTCGTCCGATACATGCAGCAAAGTTCCTATATATCTTTCGATTTGCAGGAAATTTGGCATAGAGTACTGAATTGAGTCCAGAATGACGTGTGCCAAGTTTCGAGAAAATCGGTTCAGATTTAGATATAGCTGCCATATATATTTTCGTCCGATTTAAAGTAAATGTGACACCGAAGTTCCTATCTATCTTTCGATTTATACGAAATTTGGTGTAGCGCATTGAATTGAGCCTAGAATTACATATGCCAAATTACGAGAAAATCGGGTCAGATTTATATATAGCTCCCATATATATTTTCGTCCGATTTAAGGTAAATGTGGCACCAAAGTTCCTATATATCTTTCGATTTGCACGAAATTTGGTATAGAGTACTGAATTAGGTCCGGAATGATGTATGCCAAGTTTCGAGAAAATCGGGTCAGTTTTATATATAGCTCCCATATATATTTTCGTCCGATTTTATGTAAATGGCGCTCCAAAGTCTCTATATATCTTTCGATTTTCACACAATTTGGTATAGCGCATTGAATTGAGTATAGAATTACATATGCTCAGTTTCGTGAAAATCTGGTCAGATTTATATATAGCTCCCATATATATTTTCGTCCGATGTTATGTAAATGGTGCACCATAGTATTTTTTTTTAAATCCACGTCATGCAAATTCTTAAAAAAAAATCCTTACCTACGCCTTAAAAATTTTTTTAAAAATAGCTCACATATATATTTTCTTCCACATTTTATGTAAAAAAATCACAAATTTTTTAAAAATTCTTTGTGTATTCTCTTGTAAATATATATATGCCCTTTGCCTAAAAATATGCACCACTTTTTGAAATTTGATACATAACTTAATTTTTTGTTAACCCCATACTAATTATTTGTGTTTTTGTTGTTTTTCATTATAGCACCCTACTTTTTGTTATCCTCGCTTTGGCCTGCTGCTTGAGCACAACATTGGCTGATGAACCCAAACGTGGCCTGAGACGTCCACCAGGTAAATTGACAAAGACCTCAACAACCACCGCCAATCCCACAGAAGAAGAAGAAGGTGATTATCCCGAAAATGCTGAGGAGGCCCAAGAAGGTGAAGGTGAACCCGAGGAAGCCGATGTCTCAACTACCACCACAACAACAGAGGCACCCAAACGTATTGGACCCGTGATTCGTCCATTCCGTTCGAATGATGATTTCTTGAACTCGTTGAAACGCCGTCAAATGAATGCCAAGAAAGCAAAGGGTAAGTTAGGGGAGAGAGGGGGTGAAATGGTAAAAAAAATAAAATCAGTTAATCAGGTGCCTATTTTTAGGCAATATTTCTCTATTATTTCAAGTAGCTAGAATGTGGCCAAACGAAGTTTTATAATCCAAAACTTCGTTTGGCCACAATCTATCTACTTGAAATAATAGAGAAATATTGCCTAAAAATAGGCACCACTTTTTGAAATTTATTAAATATTCTCCATGGCATTCGATTTATAAATTTTAATTTTTATTTTATACTATGTATTTGAGAAAAAAATTTGATTATTAGCCCAAAATCTACCATTTTAAAATAATTAAAAAATATATACCCTAAAAGTAGGCATCACATTTTGAAATTATTAAAATATGTATACTCATATACCTACGATTTATTTTTATTTTAAATTGTATTTATTTATTTTTTTTAGCTGAAAAACCAGCCCCCAAGCCCAAAGCCCCCGTCAACCATGACTCCGATGATGGCGAAGAAGAAGCTGCACCAGCTGCCCCCGCTCCCAAGGGTTTCAGCAAACCCAACTCAGCTTGTAAGTATTCAGATATAATAATTATTAATTTAAAATACAAATTATCAACCTATTTTTCTCCTTTTCCTTTCAGTGAGCCGTAACCGCAAGGCTGGCAAGCCCACAAAACCCGAACCCGTCGAACAGGAGCAAACTGAGGAAGCTGATGCCGAACCTAAAGAAGAAGCTAAACCCAAACGTCCATTGGCCGGTCGTTTAGCCTTAAGGAAACGTAACTAAAATGTTACAACAAACACACTCACACACACACGCACTTTGTACTAAGTCCTATATTCTCCCGCCTCAAATCCTTTCCTGTGTTTTCCCCTCTCTCTTTCCTCAATGTAGTGTGTAGCATCATTTTGAACCTATGTCCTTAGTTTAAGTAAAATAAATGTTTGTCTACTCCACTACCCCCTCCTTAATTTTTCACACATCCGATATGTTACCTATTTGTTTTTAGTTTGTTCCGCTCCCCCTCCAGTTGTCTTCTTCGTCTATGTCTTTGAAATATATTGTGTTATAATATTATTTTTTATATTATATAAATATTTTTTATTTTGTATATATTTTTTTCTTTTATTTTTTGTAAACCAACCACAAATGAAATAAATTGAAATAATTTTTAAAAAAATGATTTTTAATTTTTTTGGTTTTTGATGGAATTCAAACTAAATTTTGGATTAAAAATATATTTTTTATATATTTGAATATATAATAAAAAATTAAATGTAAATTCTTAAAAGCCAGCCGAAATAAATGAAGCCGATTCGAACGCATGTCAGACAGTGAGAATATATGGAACAAATTTTGAAAGGATGAAATTTTTATATGTGTCATGTTTGTGCCTTAAGTCTTTTGTTTAGCTCAAGGTGGACTGGATATGTAGTATACCCTTCACCACAGGGTATTATGTCTTAGTGCATGTGTATTTGTAACAGGCAAAAGGAATGAATATAGTCACATGGTTTCTTTTGAGAATATGCACAGAATCGCTTTCTAAGTCGATGTATGCATGTCCGTCCGTCTGTAGATGTTAAATTGTAAACAAAGTACATGTCGCATTTATCATCCGATTTGGATGAAATTTGGCAAAAGACACTTATTTGGCCCAAGGACAAACCCTATTGAAATTGAAAAAAAAGAAAATCGGTTCTGATTTAAATATAGCTCCCACATATAATTTCGTCCGATTTAAGGTAAATGGTGCACCATAGTCCCTATATATATTTCGATTTGCACGAAATTTGGCATGGCGTACTAAATTAAGCCCGGAATGATGTGTGTTAAGTTTCGAGCAAATCGGTTCAGACTTGCATATAGCTCCTTTATATACTTTCGTCCGATTTTATGTAAATTTGATTTTATGTAAATTTGACATAGAGTACTGAATTAGGTCCAGATTGATATGTGCTAAGTTTCGTGAAAATCACTGCAGATTTAGATATAGCTCCCATATATATTTTCATCCGATTTTATGTAAATGGTGCAACAAAGTCCCTATATATCTTTCGATTTGCACGAAATTTGACATAGCGTACTAAATTAAATCCAGAATGATGTGTTCTACGTTTCGAGAAAATCGGTTGAGATCTAGATATAGCTCTCATATATACTTTCGTCCGATTTTATGTAAATGGTGCGCCATAGTCCGATTTGCACGAAATTTGGCACAGCGTACTGAATAAAGTCTAAGTTTTGGGAAAATCGGTTCAGATTGAGATATAGCTCCCATGTATATTTTCTTCCGATTTAAAGTAAATGGTGCACCAAAGTCCCTATATATCTTTCGATATGCACGAAATTTGGCATAGGGTACTGAATTATGTCTAGAATGATGTGTGCTAAGTTTGGTGAAAACCGGTTCAGATACAGATATCGCTCCCATATATATTTCCGTCCGATTTTATGTAAATGGTGCACAATAGTTCGATTTGCACGAAATTTGGGAAAAGTTACTGAATTATGTCTAGAATGATGTGTGCTAAGTTTGGTGAAAACCGGTTCAGATACAGATATCGCTCCCATATATATTTTCGTCTGATTTTATATTAACGGTGCAGATTTAGATATAGCATAACTTCCATATATAATTTCGACCTATTCATGTTTATTGTACGCCAAATAATCAATTGGTCTGTTCCCGTACTGCAAGAATCTACTAATTTTTACTATTTTTTCTGATATCATAAAGGAAAATTTGTTATCGTAGTAAAAAATTGCACATTCTTGCAGGTTCTGGAACAGACCAAATGTGTGCCTGAATGATATTACATTTTGAACAGTGAAGCATACCAAATAGCGCGTGTAAAGTTTGCTTGAAATCTATTTAAAAAATTTTGGAATAGGTTGCAGAATGGCATGTGTTGGGATTGATGTTAGTCGGATATAAAGAGCGCATATTTAAGTTCGTTCAATTTCATGTCAATGTTCCTTCGAAAAGGCGACGTCTGTTAGGATACATATGTGCAGAATATACCCAAAGTGGTGAAGGGTATCATATAGTCCGCCCAGTCCGACTTTGCTACTTTCTTTACTGTTTTTTTTTTTTTTTTTTTGAGAGTGTCCCTTTCAAGGCGCAAAATCTTTCAATTTTAAACCAGTGGTTTAAAACTGAAATTGCTGCATTAAAAAAGCTAACTGTAAAAGGTTTTCATGTACTCCATGTGTAAACTCATGCTTGACATACTGTATATATTCTGTAGTAAATAATCAGGAAAAATTTCCTCTTTTCATCGGTGAATATTTGTTTTATACATCTCATATCCAAATACAACCATTAAGTAAGGGATTTTTTTATAATTTACCAAATTACTTGGTTCGTGTATAGAATATGGGATATTTCCATAATTTCAAAATAATTCTAATCGCCTTGTTATATTATATGCTGAAATTGGTTCGTGTGTTAGCGAAGTGAAGCACCAATTCGCCGTATTGTAAGCACCTAGTAAGTGTTATATCTCAATATAACACTTGCTTATTGTTATATGAATCCAATAGTACACTAGGCGTCGCTAATACATTCTTTTTTTGAAGAGGGTTTGTGAAAACGTTAAATTTTTATTATAAAGGAATTTTGTGAGGGAAATTTTGTGGTGAGACCGAATGTTACACAAATTCAAGGCATACAGTTGAATGTCTAGAGTATAGTAGATAGTATAGACCCACTACATATAGAATTGAATTGACAATCCTTTTTACGCATTTTTTCACTTATCGGAAGGTAGGTCACATATCTCTGTAATATGTCTAAAATTATTGGCGCCCAACGTTAACAGTATCGTTACCTAAGTGTGGCCGCCATATACCTTTGCAGAACGGAAACACTGGAAGAAGACTTATGCCCCGATACGAGCTAGGATCATTCGTTATCCGATCAGGTGGCTTTAATAATATTACTCGAACACACTTATAGGCACACGAGAAGTTGTTGTAAAAGTTCGGCTGGAACCATATGTTTTTCCCTATATATGAAATATATTATTCTGGAAGCTGTAAGAATCGTGCCACTTCCACTGGTGTAACCCAGAGATCCACAGGGTGCAAATCTGTGGGCCTGACTGGGCAAGAAAAAAGGTAGTTTGGGTCATGAGTAGTGCTGTGACAGATTGGGCACTGATCACATGTTCTAGAAATAATTCTCGACATGTAATTATTTAAGATTGTGCTCTAACCAGATCTAAATTGAGCTATAGTTCTTCTAGTGGATCTGGGGAGGCTCTTTTGTGAGTCACTGATTGCTGATGGGTTGTTCGTTAAGGTAATATACGTCAACGGCTTGGGTGTCACTTAGGAATAAAGTCCAATCAGGGGCGGCATAGCTCAGTACAGAGCCGCTAATGACTTTGTACGTCATGAAAAGCGTATCTTTATCCATTCTCCAGGAGGTACCTGCTAGAGTTTTCAGAACCTTATTTTTTCAGAGGACATTCCTTTTGTCGTAAGCAACGTTCTTGGTGTAACTGACCAGATTTTCAAAAACTACTCCCAGTATTTTGGGTTGCTGCACTGTCAGAATTCTTCGATCATCGACTATGATATCTAGCTCTGTCTTTAGTCCATGTGTCCAGGAGGTAAATAACGGCGCAGTATATTTAGACGGGGTTACAATTAATTCCCTTTCCTGCATGAATGTGGTGATGGGGGCGAGGTAGTTATTAATTTTCGCGCGGGTGATAAGACTACTCCCTTAAATCTTGCGGTATTTAGATATCTAACCTCTGAAATCCACAGATGCCTGTCTGTCATTGAGATAGTTACCAAGCCAGCGCTTGGTAACATTGGGCAATGCGGAGTTCATGACATCACTGAGAAAAATCCAGTGGTCCGCTGTGTCCAACGCTTTCGATAGGTTTAACGCAGCGACCGCAGTCCGCGCTGGCTGTCGATTTTGGTTGAGGCCATTTGCAATATATGTAATGATATAATTTAGCGCCGTTGCAGTACTGCATGCTTTGCGGAATCCAAATGTAGGTGCTCATTAATGGTGGGTAGTGCTTCCAAAAATTAGGTTACAGGAGATAGGGCAGTGTGATTCTCCTAGATGAGCTGGTTTTGGAGGTGGTATTTTTCTGGCTACCTTCCAAATCTCTGGGACTACTAGTGAGTTTACCGATTGAGATTGTTGCCAGAGCTATTGGGCCGAGATGCTTTAGCATGACCATAGAGATGCCATTCGGGCCATGGACTAAAGACAAGTAACCCCGACTACTGCAGCTGGTGAACACATAATCGATAGTCTTCTAGATGACTATAAACATCCTTCTAGCAATACTATGTATACCGAATCTGAAAAGTCTTATACAAGACCCCAAGGTCCAACTCCATTGTCCTGTACGAAACTCCTTCAATGTTCTTTCCATTTGATATATCCATCTAATTCGTGGCGTTACCCTTCTGCGTGAGGCATCATTTAGCTCGCTTTTGTGCTGGGACATCCTCCTCTATTCTCCCAATATGATCTAGCCAATGTATTCGCTGCAGCTCGATCCGTCTGTCTATGTCGATGTCCGAGAATATATGGCGATTTATTCGAAGGCGATATTCACCGTCAACGCAGATCGTCCCATAGGTCTTTCGGAGAATTTTTCTCTCAAAAACTCAATCTGCTTGCGCAAGTATCCATGCTTCAGATCCGTACAACAGGAAGGGTAGTATCAGCGTCTTGTAGAATGTGAGTTTGATCTGGCGGGAGGTGGATTTGTTTCTAAACTGCTTACATAGACCATCTTTTAGCCAACACTA